TGTGTTTTTAAGGACATCTGTACTGGATATGAGACATTTACTACATCTGTGTGTGATACACAGGACAGACTAGGACTGAGAGGACACTGTGTTTTTAAGGACATCTGTACTGAATATGATGTTTCTACTGTTGCTTTGAGATGATTCACGATGAATCCAGAGAGGTTGTTTCAATACCATGAACTGTCCCAACCAAATGAAATAAACGTTACAGTTTTTTCCATCTCCCCCCCTGGACTGCCACCTTAACGTGGTGGGGGAGTTTGAGTACTCGGATGATCCTGGGAGCTATGCTGTCTGGGGCTTCATGCCCCTGGTAGGGCCTCCCATGGCAGACAGGTCTCAGGTGACGAGTCAGACGAAGAGCGGTCCAAAAACCACCATGGACAGCACGTTAACTAGAACAGTGACGTCGCCCGGCATGGCGCAGCCGGGGCCGCCACCCTGGAGCCAGGCCTGGGGTCGGGGCTCGTATGCGAGCGCCTGGTGGCCGGGCCTTAGCCCACGGGCACCTAAACCCCTTATAAACCCGGGTTTTTCCGATTTTTTCATAACAACCCCTTATAAATTGTGGTGGGGGGACCCAAAACCTTTTTTCCTTGTTTATTTTGGCCTTTTTTTTTTTTTTAGGGGGGAAATTGGATGGATATTTGAAAACACTGTCCTAAAATTTTGTTAGCTTTCCAAGTTTGGTTCCCAAAAAAAAGTTTTTTCTGGACCACCCAAACAAAAATAGGTATACCCACACCCCCAAAAACGTTTTTTTTCTTTGTGGGTCCTTCCACCCAGGGGGATTTTGCAGATAACCCCATACCCAAAATACCCCCCTCAGATTTTTTATTAGGCCCCCTTCTCTGGGAGTGAAGAAAAAAAAAAGCTTTTTTTGAAAAAAAACATTTTTTACAGGTATATACATTATTTTTAAACTTGGGGCTTTTTATATAGGCAGCTTGGTTTTTTGGGCTGGTTTATTAGAAAAAATTTCCACTAGGTCCCAACTCAATTTCAAAAAAACCAAAAAAAAAACCCTTGGGGAGGTGCAAAAAAAACCTAAAAAAAATTTAATTTTAGGTATGGGGGCTCATAATAATGCCTTTTTTAACTTTTGTGTATTGGACTCTTTTTTTTTTGAAGCTCGTTTTTTTTGGGAGTATTTAAAGGGGAGGGATTGTAGGGAAAACCCTTTTTTTTTATTTAAAAATTGGTTGCCCCAGATTCAAACAAAATACAGTAAAGATTTTTAGGGTTTAGTTTTTATTTTGGTTTAATGTTGAAAAGGGGGGCAATTTACCCCACATTTTGTGCTCAAAAATGGGGAAGGGGGGTGGGCTTGAAAAGCAAAAAAAATAAGGGCCTTTAGGAAGCCCCCCCACCCCCAAGTGCAAAATACCATAAAAAATAAAACAAAATAATGGAACATTTTTTTCCAAAAAAAAAAAAAACCCAAACTTTAAAAAAAAGCAAAAGCTAACATTTTCGTTTACAGGGGGGGGGGACCCCAAAAATTACAAAAAAAACAACAAAAAAAAATCAAACAAAAAATAAAAAATTATAATTTTAAAAACTTTCTTTATATAAATTAATTGGATAAAACAACAGGCCCACCCAGCTACCAAAAAAACCAAAAAACCATAAATTATTTAGTTTCATATAAACGTGTCTCTAAAGAACAATTTAGCAAGTTCAAAAATAAAAAATGTGGTTTTTTTACTTTTAAATTATATTTTTGCCTTTGCCAGATTTGTTTACCCGTGGGATTACCAAGAGGTTTACTTTTATTGGTTTTAAAAAAAAGTTGTACCAATTTAATAGGATTTAAATTATCTCTTGGAAAAGATCTTTGATTTACCTTTCAATTTGTTTCAATTACCAATTCTTTCAGTATTAATTTTAATTTTTTTTTGGGTTTTAATTATTAAATATCCATTCCATTTTATTTTATAAATAAAATTTTAATTTTTAAATTTTGAGTTATGTTTTGAAGTATTTGTATTGAAAAAGGGGCCCTGGCACCAAGTGTGGTTTGCAATTTTTTAAAAAAAGGGGCCAAAGAGGGAAAGTGGAGCCAGTTTGTAGGAGGGGCAAGTAAAAAACCCATCCCCTTCTCAAACAAAAAACCCCCCAATCACAAAGCTGCCCTAACGGGGCTGGAATTTTTTTTTGTAAGAAATATGTTTTTTTCCTATGCTGGGGAGTGGGTTGCATTTATAAAAAAAAGGGGAAACAAGGGGTTTATTTTTTTTAAGAAATAGGGGGGGGGTGGGCCCCCCGTTGGGGGAGGATTTTTTCCTTTCTCAAAAAACCAGAATTCCAGTAAAAAAAAAAAAACCCCTGGGCAAAAACCCCCTAATTTTTTCTCCATTTGTGGAAAATTTTTTAGGCCAAAAATTTAAGAATTTTGGGTGGGGGGGGGGGACCAAGTGTTTCCAAAGCAAAGCAACACTTCTTCCATTGGGAATATTATAAGAGGGGAAATAAAAAATTACCCCAACCTCATTTTTTTGTTCTTTAATTTGGATTCCCTTACTAGCTCCCCCTAGTGGGGCAAATACCAAATCCATTTTTCCTCTTGGGTCTGTTATTATTTTCTATTTAAGGGTTGTCTTTTTGGTGTTGTTTGGTATGGTTTGGTTTTTGTATAAAATACCATCGGAGTGTGTGGTAGGGGGGGGGTCATTGCGTGGGTCTTGTCCATCTGTCCCCAGGGGGGGTATGAGGGCACAAACAACAAACCACCACCCCCAAAAAAAAATTTTTGTACATAACCATTTAACTTGGGTTTGGAACATAAAAATAACAAAAAATATATCCCTTTTCAAAATTAAAGTTTTGTGCCTTATTGGGGTTTTTTCTGGGGGAAAATTTTCCTTTAAAAAACAAGTTTTAATTCAAAAAATCCCACCGTTAATTTCAAAATAAAAAAACGACCCGGGGGGGGGACGTTCTTGGGGGAAAACCCCTTCTTTTTTGTTAATATTGGGTTTTGTGGGTTAAACCAAGTGTTTTTACGTTTTTAAACCCCTTTGCCTTTTGGAATAATTAAAAATAAACAGCTTGGTATACCCCCAGTTTTTGGGAAAAAAACTCCCAAACATAATGTTCCCACCCCAATAAAAATATCCTTTTTCAATTATAATTTTTCTTTGGATTTTAATAATATAAATGGGTGGGAGGTTTTGTTGTTGGATCCCAAAAAAAAAAAAAACCCCAACTTTTATTGGGAATTTACCTCGGAATAAAGCTTTCTTTTTTTTTTTTTTGGCAAAAACAATTTATTTATTTGGTTGTTTTTAAACTTGTTTGCTTTTTTTTATTTTAATAGTACTTACCCCCAAAAAAAACCAAAACAGTACAATAATTATTAAAAAGTAAGGGGGGCAAAAAAAAAAAAATCAGAAAAAAGAAATAACCAAGTATAAGGTTTGTTAAGGAAGGGCTTTGGGGATGTTTTAAAAAATGTGGCTTTTGCTTTTTGCTATTTACTGAAAAAAAATTTGCTTCTTAAAGAAAAATTTTTTCGGTAAAAGTTAAAAAATATATTTAAATGGTTGGGATTTCCAAACAAAGTGGAATTCCTTTGTTCATTTTCCATATTAAATTCACCACCCCAAAGGGAAAACATTTGATTTTTTCATGCAAAAAAACTTTGCTCGATAAACATACCACCCTTCTATTCTGAATTTTGGCTTTTCCTTTTTGAGTTTTTCTCCTGGGGCATTTGCAATTTTAAACCAGGTTTTGCTAAAATAAACGGTTTAGGGAAGGTTACTTTTCAAAAAAATGTTTTTTTTTTAAAGTTTTTTCTATATCCATGTCATGGTAAAATCAAGTTCAACAGGTTTTTATTTTTTTTTTACACCCTTTTAAACAAATTTGGGTTCCAAGTATTCCTCCTTTTCCCTTCCACAGGGTTTTGGAGGAAAATAACAGGGGGGGGACAATTTGGCTTCTATTTCAAGGATCCCAAACCAATTTTTTATAAATTCCCTTCAAAAACGTTTTTTTTGCATATTTTTTTTGCAGGGCCAAGTGGGTTTTTGGTTTCCAAAACAATCTTACCAAAAGAAAATTTAATTAAAATTGGTTTTCGACGGACTTTCATTTTTCATTATTATTATTTAAAGTCGCTGGTTTATCCTCCATCTTTGAAATATTTTGGATTAATTTTTAAAAATCGGGTTCCTTGGTTTTATTTTGTTAAAAAATTTTTTTTACTAATTTAAGGGATTTATTTCCATAAAACCTTTAATAATTATTCTTATTTGCAATCTTTAAAAAATAAACATTTTTGTTATTTTATAATTTTAAATCCTGTTTTTTTTTACATTTTCTAATGGATTATACCTGTCTGTTTATTTTTTTTTAGATTTTCTCTTTTATATTTATCCCTCTGCTTTCTTTTTGGGTTTCGGTTAATTTATAAAGTTTTTCCTAAATAAGGGATTATTTTTTTTTTCTTGCCAAGGGGGGGGAATTTAGTTTATAAAAAACCTTTCTTAGGGACATTTCCCCTGGTGTTTTCTTTTTAACATTTCTGTTTTTTTTAACCCAAGGGTATTTTTTCTTCATTGGGGCAGTTTTTCTTGTTTTTGTTATACTTTTTTTTGGGGGGGAAAAATTCAACTCGCGGTAACAAAAAAAAAAACTCATCCTTTAAAAAGCCCATTATTTCCCCGGTGTTTCCCATTTTCTTTCTTCTGTTAACCCCAACCCAATTAACTACACCAGTTCTTTGGATGCTAAAAAAAATAGCTTCCTTTTTAAATATTGCATTCTATAGGTTTTTCGGTTTTTTTACACCCTTTCTTATACCCAATTTTAACTTTGTTTTTGCCCTCTTTCAGCTTTTGAAAATATAATAATCCAGTTTGGGTTGTTATTAACCCCATAAAAACGGAATAATATAATTTATTACGGGGATTATATGGGGTGGACTACTGTATTTGTTCTGTTGTTTATGGGTTAGGATAATAACCCGGACGGGTAGGGGGTGGAATCAGGGGGGGCCACAGTTGGGGGATTGGGGTGGATATTATTTTTGGGGGGGTTGGCTTTTTGGGGTGGGGTCACATACAGGTGGGGCATATACGTGGGGGGGGGTTTGGGGGGGGCAGGGGTCGTGGGGGCGGTGGGGGTTGGAGATGGGTTATTTATTTTTTCTGGGGAACACATGGACTGCGCGCCGGGGTACAAGGAAACGCCGACACGTTTTGGTTTGGTTTTTGTTTGAAGGAAAGGATGATGGTTTTCTGTTTCATTCTAAATAAATAAATACCCCTAAATTACCTTAGTTATAGGGGGGGACATTTTCTACCCCATTAGCCGTGTATGGGTTTGGGCATACCGGGGGGTTGGGTGTTTTCTTGGGGAGCTTTTGGACATAGATAGGAAAATAGTGTGAACCAGGGCAGTCAGCGCGGCGTGTTAATATTTATATTAAATATCTGGGGGGTCATAGTAGTGGGGGATTTCACCATATCCCGGCCTGGGGTTATTCGTTTTACTGTATAAAAAAAAAATGGGGGGATATTCAAAAAAAAAGATGAAAAAAGAGGGGGGTAGGGGGGGGGGGGGGGGGGGGAGAAGGGAGGGGGGGGGGGGGGGGGGGGGGGGGAAAAAAGGGGGGGGGGGAAAAAACCCCCAAAAGTTATTTGGTATATTTCAAAGGATAGGGGTAATAAAAAATAATATAAAAAAAAATAAATTGAATAATAAAATAAAAATTACTGGGAATTATGGTGGATGGCTTGTTTTTTTATATCGGGGATTGTTGAGGGCTGGGTTTAATTGTGGGGTGTGTGGATATATATTATTAAGTGGTAGTAGGGTATTATTAGTGGAATATAAAGGGGTGAAAAGCCTTTTAGCTCTAATTTAGGGGACTTTTGTTGGTAAGTATTGTTTGTTTTTACAAGATCTCATAGGGGGGGGATGGGGGGGGGGATTATGTATGGTGGACACGGGGGGGGGTGGGGGGGTTTTGTGGAGTGGGGCCGCTTATTGGGATTGCTGTTTTACGAGCGAGGGGTTAAGGGTATTTTTTTCAAAAAAAAAACAAAGAGCTTTAATATCTACAAAAACAAAAAAAAAACTTCGGCCCCCCTAATGCTTAAGGATTTTATTAGGTAAATAATATTTATAGGTGTGTTTAAAAAAGTAAAAAATATAAAATAAAATAAAATTGTATAAAAAATAAAAATAAAAACTGATAAGGAGAGAAAAAGTGGTTTAATAAATGGGAAAAACCCAATCCACAATATGGGGTTGTCTAAAAGGTTCTTGTTGTTGACTTTATACGTTTGCCTTGCAAGGATAAAATAAAAAAAAAAATATAAAAAAATATTTAATATCTTTAACAAAAAAAAAAAAAAAAAAAAAAACGTTATTTTTATTTTTTATTTAAATAACCCCGAAAACAAAAAAAAAAAAAGGGGGAAAAAAAAAATATTCCAATAGCTGGGAGGGTAATAAAAATATAAGGAATATATTATAATAACAAATTAATACGTGGGGACTAAAGGGTATCAATTTGAGAACATAGAATAAAAATTGGTCATTTAATAATAATTATATATTTTACCATTGGGTATGGGATAGGGTTCAGGTGTTGGGGTTCTTGGGATGTTGGTTGGGGCCTAGTTATATAGGGGGGGGGTTGTTTTTTGTGGGGGGTTTGGGGGGGGGTGGGGGGGGGGGGTTCTAGGTGAGGTATTTGGCTTGGGGTCCGTTGGTGCGGGTTGGGTCACACTTTTATATTAATAGTATACCCTTAATAAATTGTATAATTTTACGGGTAGTGAGTATGGGTAGACACAACACAAATAATTATTATTGCCATATAAATAATAAGATGAGGATGTTAATACACGTGTATATATAAAAATTATGAAATATTTGAATCAAAAGCCATTAACGTCGTTCTTCGGAACACATTTTTAAAATAAAAAAAAAAAAATTTTCCTTTTGCGTTTTTTAAAGATATGGTTGAGGGTGGGTAAACCCCAAAAAAAAAAAAAAAAACCCTTGCTGCAATAAAAAAAAATTTTGGCAAATAACTAAACCGTTTGAGGATAATTAAATTGTTGAAAATTCTGGGATAGGACATAAATAGGCCAAAAAACAAAAAAAAAAACAATTTTTGTCCCTTTGTTTTTCCCCTCCAAAACCCCCTTCGTGGGAGAGGGGAAAACAACAAGGAAAAAAAAATATAAAAATTACACATCAAAAACAATGGAGCGCATTTCCTCGGTTATGGACCGGGGGTCTGGGGGGGGGTTCTTGGCCGGGGGTGTTGCGGGCGGGTTCTTAGGGGCCGGACGGGGCCGGGGGTCGGGGGCGCGGGTCTTATCTTTGGGGTCCGTTCGTTTGGCCAGGCGGGGGGTTTTCTCGGTTTTACCGCGCGGGGGTCTGGTGTTCTTTATCTGTTGTGGTGGGTTTTTTCTTTGGGGTTGGTTGGGGGGGTCGGGTTGTGTTATTTCCCCCGGGGTCCTCTGGCGTGGGTTGGCTTGTAACGCGTTTAAAAAAAAAAAAATTTAAAAAAAAACACCCTTTGAAACTGATTTTTAACCCCATGGGGGGGAGGGGGTACTGGGATATGGGGAGAAAAAACCTTTTTAAAAACAAAAAACTTTTTTGGGGGGAAAAAAAAGGGTAAAATCCTCACTAAAAGCCGTTAAATGGGGGCAAAAACTGTTAATGGCCACTGCCCAGGAAGAAAAAAAACTCAGTGGGGGGGAAAAAGGGGGGCAAATTTTTCAGTGATTAGAGAGGGGTGTTTGGGTTAATCGGAGAGAGGGGGGCCGCAAAAACTAAAGACCCATAGTACCAACAACGGGTGCCTTTCTGTGTCATTTATGTTGTGCAATATAAAATGTGGGCCCCTTGGTTTGTTTTTTGGATTAATTTTAGAGGATGGAACCCCAATGCGAATAATTACTCCACTTGGGGGAACCAAAAAACAAAAGGAAATTCCCCCCACTAATTTTAAATAAATAATACATTTTAATCTACGGGGAATACAGAAAATTGCTAGGAGATGCCCATTTCAGTGAAATTTTAAGCAATTTTATATAATTATAATATGCATCATAAATTAGGGCTAGCCTGGGTGTGGGGGGGGGGGGGGGTTTTTTCTCGGGCTTTAGAGCAGGGGGTACTTGATTTACAAGTGTTAGTGGTACCGGTGTTGCGTGCGGTTTTGGGTATGGGCCCGTCGGATTTTTTATGATTATTGTTGTAATATACTTGTGTGGTTTTGGGGGGCGGTAGAAGTTCAAATGATAGCTGATAGGTTTAACTTTGAATGATTAATTTGATATTGTTTAAATTTATCCAATATACTGTGGGGGGCGGGGGGTTGGGCGCTTACAACCATTCTAGTAAATGTAAATTTGTTTGCAAAAAAAAAAAAAACAAAAAAAAAAAAAAAAAAAAATAAAAAGAAAAAAAAAAAATAAAAAAAATTCAAGAGCGGGCTTATCCCCGAGGAAAATCGTCACTCTTTAAAAGTTTGGGGGGTTTTTGTTTTTTACTATTGGGATCAAACATACCAATACTTCATTATTTGTTTTTTAAATATCCCAAATCAAAAAAGATTAATTTTGAAGTTTTTGTTGGGGGGGACAAATTTGGTGGGGGGGGGGGGGGGGATATGGGTTTGTCCACCCCACATAATTAATTAATTAAAACGGATTTTACATCGCGGGGCGGCGGTGGGGTAGGGAATTCTTTGATTTTCGGGCTGGTTGGGGGGATCTTTTCTTTTGTATTGTGTGGGGGTATTGGGGGTCTTAATTTTTTTCCTTCCCGGGGGCTACACCAAAATTTTATCCCTAAAATTGGACCATAATATATAAGAATTAGATATAAACCGGAGGGATGTATTATAACCGGGGTGGTTCACTTGTCTTACTGGGGGGCCGGGTGCCCCCGGGCGCGGCGGGTTGGTGGGTTTGGTACGGGGGGTGGGGTGTGTGGCGGGTTGGGTTTCACGGGGAGGATACTCCGGGATCTTTTTGGGGATTTACTTATCCATATGATATGGCATATTTATCCCATTATCGGTGTTATTATATGGGGGTTGGTGGTCCAATAATCAGCGGTGGGGTTTTAAAATGGTTTTGTTACAAAATACATTGGTGGAATATAAAAAAACTGGGGAGATTGTGGAATTTTGACCTAAAAATAACTAAAATATCCGGGACTCAAGTGTCCCCCCATAATATATACATTGCTCAACCTGTTTTTTTCCCAAAAACAATTAATGTATTAAGTTGTTTCTTAAAATAACCCCCCCCAAATAATAAACTAAAAAAGGGGGACTTTTGAAAATAATAATTACAGGAACAATGAGGTTATTGTGTTGGTGGGGGGCCCACTAGGGGGACGGGGCAACACTTGGGGATGCTGGAGTTATTTTTCTGCCTGTCCTCCAGGGGATTGTTCAGATTATTTATTGTTGTATTTTTTGTTTTTTTCCTCTATAATTCAAGGGAAGGGGATTAAAAAAAAAAGGCAAGGGGCTATCACCTTGGCGCCTATGTGGGGGGGCGGGGGGCGGGCTCCCGTCCGTGGTTTTAAATAAATCCTGGGGGGGGGACTTGGGGGAGCTGTGGGTGCGTTTCTATAATAATTAATACTTTATGGCCTCCACCCCTTATATTATAACTGGTGAGTGGGGGGGGGGGTGTTGGGGATAGCGGGGCTGCCCATCACCTCCCCCTTAGGGGTTTTTAGTGTGCGGTTTCGTTGTGCGTGGGGGGGTTGGGGGTAAATATTAGCCGGCGTGTCCCCATCAAATCGGGGACGGGGCCCCGAACTCCCCTCTCGAAATACCCTTGGGGTCTTTTTAATGCACCACTCCCAAGCGCATAGGGAAAAAAACAAAAACCATATTTTTCTTACAAAAATTTCCCAGGGGCCGTCTTAGGGGGGCAGCTGTTTGCTGGGGGGGGGGTGTGTTGTTGTTTGTAAGGGGGGAAGCAGTTACTTTTTTTGCCCCCTCTTCAAATATACTGGCTCTCCAACGTTTGCTTGGGGGGGGCTGGGGGCGCGGGGGGGGGTTGGGCTTAACTTTCAATATTTAAGGGGGGGGATGGGACAGGGCCATGATGTACGGGTACAACTCCTCTGCGGGTTTTACTTGTTCAATATATTAAAAAATTAAAAAATAATATTTAAATAATTGGGGGATTGGGGGGTATTTTAAATAATTAAAAAAAAAAAACCCAATAAATAATTAAAAAAAACATTTTTTATAACTTGGAAGATATGGGTTTTTTAAATTTTGGGGGAACAATTTTTTGGGAAAAAAGGGTAAATCTATAGGATTCTTCAAGGGGGAAGTACATAATAAATATTAATGCTTTTAGTATATTAGGGTTGATGGATATGTATGGATATCGGTGGGTGTGTATCGCCCATGTATTAATTTAAGGAATAATAATAGTACCTGTCTGTATATCATCGGGGTATTAAAAAATAACAAAAAAAATTATTTCTTTGCAAGGGAAAAAAGCAAATTTATATTTAATTACCTAAAAGGTTAAAGGTCAAAGGTAGAGGTAACCACAATTTTGTTTTTTTTTGGGGGGGACTTGTTGCTTGGGTGCGTGGCGTTGTGGGTGGGGGGTAACTGGCGGTGATGTTGGGGATAATCGTGGGTGGGGGGGGGGGTGGGGGTTTTCTTGCGGGGCGGGGGGCGGCCCGGGGGCCCTTGATTTAAAAAAACAATTTATATAAAGTGGGAAGTTTAATAATTTATTTTTTTTTGTTGGTTTGTTTTTGTTTAAAAATTTTTGGTGTGTCTTGTACGGGGGGGGAATGTAAGGCGCTTTGCTTCTTTTAAAAGGTGGTTTTTGGAAAAAATGGTTCCTTTGTTTTTTAATTTTTTTTTTGGTTTGTATTGTTTGGGCAAAACTTTTGGGGGTCGGGGTGGGGGGCTTCCTAAGGCCCCCCCCCTTCTTTTTGCTTTCAAAAGGCCCCACTCCCTTTTTGAGGCCAAAACCCTTTGTAGTAATTTTGCCTTCAAAAATAAACCAAAAAATTAAAACAAAAACTACTAATATAAAATTAAAAAAAATTACCTGTTTTATTGTGAATCTGGTGGCCAAACCAAATATTTTATAAAAAAGTTCATCTACAAAATTACCTTTTCTTTTATACTTTCCTAAAAAAATACGGGGGCTTTTCAAAAAAAGAGGTTCCATAACACAAAAGTTAAGGGAAATTATTTTTTATGGGAAGGGGCCATACTTTAATTAAATTTTTTGTGTTTTTGCCCACCTTTCCCAAAAGTTTGTTGAAAAATTGGAGTTGGGAAACCTAGTGAAAAAATTTCCTATTTACAAAAAAAAAAAAAGGCAAACCAAAAGCTGCTATATATTTTTTTATAAAGGGCAAAGTAAAAAAAAAAGTTAATTGTTACCTGTTTTTAAAATGTTTTTTCAAATAAAAAAAAAAAAAGCGGGGGCTCTTTTCAACTCCCAGGAGAAGGGGGGCTATAATCTGAGGGGGTTTGTGGGGTATTCTGCAATCATGGTTTGAGGGGGAAACCAACCAAGGGAAATACAAAAAACGTTTTGGGTTGGGGGTGTTAATCCTAATTTTTTGTAGGTGGGGGTCCAAACTTTGGGAAAAAACCAAAATAAAACTGGAGCCTTTACAATTTAGGGGGGGAACTAAAGGTGTTCAAAAAAAAATTTAAATCCCATTATCCAAAGTTTCAATAAAAGCTAAAAATTTACAAGGGAAAAGGGTTTTGGTTTCCAACAATATAAAAAGGGTTTGTTTTATGATCGGGGAAAAACGGGTTCTTAGGGTTTTAGGGTTTGCATTTTATTTAATAAATAAAATAATATAATAGTGTATCAACACCAATAAAAAAAAAAAAAAAATGTAGTTGCCATTTTCTAGGGAATAGGGGTTTAAAGGGGAAAATGTTATAAAAACAAAGGGAATTTAGTATATCTTAGGGAAAAAAAAAATAAAAACAACCAGGGGGGGGGGAACTAATTTTTCTAATTATAAAAACCATTTTAACTATAATAAAAAAAAACTTAATAAAAATAATTTAAGTAAAAAAAATGTAATTGATATTGTTTTATAATAACCAACGGTTTTGTTGGTTTAATAAAAAGTAAAAACCCAAAACAAAACATCCAGGGTTTTGGTTTTGTTTCAGTCGGGTTCTCTTCTGCCTGTAACCCCATGTGCCAAACCCACAACCAGGCCATGGGGGACAGCGGGGGGGGGGCCCCAACCCTGCAGGGAACCCACTGTGGAGGTTAAAAATTGGGCTCTTCCCCAGGGAAAAAAACAGGGGAGGGGGTAAAACCAAGGATCCATTTTTTTAAAGGGGCCTGGGCCCTTATGAAAAATTTTTTGTTGGCATCGGGGAAAAACCTTTCATTTTTAACTTGAACCAGGTTTCTCCGGTTGGGGTAGAGTGAAACAAAAATCTCAAAGTTTGGGGGGCATCTCGGGGGGATGTGGGGGGGGACTTCAACAAAAGGAAAAAACCTTGTGGGGTTTTTTTTAATGCAATTTTTCAAAACCAACAAAGGGCATAACAAAAACATTTTTACCCTATAAAGGTAATGTAATTAAATGTAAAAAAATCCATATTGACCCCCAAAAAAGTTTAAAAAAGCCAAAAAAAAAACAAATAAAAAAAACCAAACATTTTCAGTTTTGATTGGTTTTTATTTTAACATGGCTCTGAAGTGAGTTTTTGGGTTTTTATTGGTCCCTCTTAGTGTTGTTTGTTGTTGGTTTGGATTAATGGTCTTACTTGTGTTTGTTTATGTCTGGTTTTTAATTATTTCATTTTTGATATTAATTTGGTTATTTTTTTTTTAATAGTAATTTGGTATTAAAATTATATAAAAGTAGATTTTTTTTTACCTAAAATTTTTTGAAAAATTTAGCTGGATTTTTGATAAATTGAAATAAAATAAAAATTTCAACTTATAAATAATTAATATAAATAATTTAAAATAAAAAAATAAAAATGTGAGCGATTTAAAATTTGGACTAGAGCACCACCATTTATAAACCAATTGCAATATTAAACAAGATAGATTATTACTTTTTTTATTTGTTCCCACCAGTTAGGATAAATAACAAAACTTTAAGAATTTAAAATGGGACATAAAATAACTTTTGGGTAGTTAAGGGGGGGGGGGGAAAAATGGGTGTATATTAAAAAAAAAAAACTTTTACTGCTGGTTTTTGGGCTTTTGTTTATTATTTTCCCTGTTAAAAAATTGGCGGGAAAAGGGGGAAAAGGGGGGGGGGGAAAACCAACAAAAACCATTTTTATAATTTGAGGACTTTTTTAAAAAATGGGGGTGGGAGTTAAAAATAAAGAAAAAAGCTTGGTCTTTCATTTTTTCCCCACTCCCTTTCCCAAGGCTGTTTTTATTTAAAAAAAAAAAATTTTTTTTCCCTTTTTCTAATGGATGTTTTGTTTATTATTTTTGTATTAGGGGGGGGGGGGATATTGTAATGTAATTTCTTTTTAACTCTTGTTTTTGTTTTTGGTTTGTAACATGGTTACCGGGGCTTGTGGAAAAATAAAAAACCTAAATAAAAACCTAATTGGGTCTTGGCAAAAAAAAAAAAAAATGGTGGAATCAACACCTATGGGAAGCCATCATTAACAAAAACCCCCACATCCAACCCAAAAAAAAACAATTTGATAAAACAACAATTTTCAAATGGGGGGGAAAAATGTGGGGACCCCACTGTTCTTTTTTTACCAGTGTCACCAACAAAAAACTTGCCCAGGATTGGGGCAATGTATAGCAGTAATGTGTTCTAATAGCAACATGCGCTAGAAGTAGCAGAGTTACAGTGTGAAACTTGGTCAACGCAGTAATGTAGCCTAACAATTATGCTTAAGAGGAGAAGCAGAAGCAGAGTGTTAGCTGTTGTTACGTATAGCAGTAATGTGTTCTAATAAAACAATATGACATGCAGAAGGGGGCGGAATTAAAATGATTCGTTTCAGTGTAGTACAATCAAACATAGAGTGGTTATTAGTTTGAGCAATCAAAACAGCATGGAACAACAGCTAGACCGTGTTAATGTTACCACCATGAGCAGCAGTGTGGTCTAGGCGTGACATGCAGAAGAAGGGGCAGGATTAAAATTATTAGTTTTAGTTTATTACAATCAAACATCAAGTTTGGCAAAGTAGAGATTTTAGTTGGGACAGAAACAGCAAGGGACAACAGCCAAAACAGTGTTAACGTTACAACCACAGCCAATCACTTGATCATGAGACGTGGTGCAGGGTAAAAGTCAAGACAGCAGCAATGTGGTCCCGGAAGTAGTGCCGGGACCGGAAAGCAATTTTGTGTTTAGACAATAAGAGGTGCGGCCCGTTTAGCAGTATGCCGAGACGGCTGGCGCCTTATGATCGTCAGAACACAGAATCAGAGTGGGATAGGATAGTACGAAGTATAGTAAGTAGTGTTATTGTTAGACAACAGGTAGACAATGCAGCAGAATGGTATTAGCAGTGGGGATGCGGCTCTGGCTTTTAGCGCGCCAGGGCCGGAAGTTAGCCGTATGCTAAAAACAAAGGAGCGTAGCTAGCATTTAGCTTGCCGGCAACGGTACATTGTAGCAGCAGTTTAGGCAATAAACAATGAGTTTTGGCGACCGAATGCAGTTCGGTTAAACAGAGTGGTACTAGTTTTAACGGTAGAGAAGCAGCTTATAGTGGGAGCAGTGGGGATGCGGCTCTGGCTTTTAGCGCGCCAGGGCCGGAAGTTAGCCGTATGCTAAAAACAAAGGAGCGTAGCTAGCATTTAGCTTCCGAGCGCGGAGGTTTTAGCAGTAGTTTATACAACGAAAGTCTGGAGCGAGTTATACGGTTCGCACAAGCACGTATTTGCAGTGGTGGAATGGGGTTTGTATGTATGTACTGTAGGGTGCTGGTGTGTGTATACAACAGCAGGTTAGCAGGCAGAGAGAGTGGTGAGACAGAGTTAGCGTTAGCCGCCTTTAGCAAAACGATAGCATCACATTCAAACAGCTGCCATTTACAGCCTTTTACACAGATATACTCGGTTAAAATCCTGTGTGACCTGGGTCACCAAGGGACACAGTAGATCCGTACACCCGTGTTCTGGACACGGTGTACAGTGGAGTTATAAGAATAAGGTTTTGCGCTTTCTCTTCAGAGGGAAGCGGCTTTCACAGACTCACGCTGCCCGCTGGCCAAGCGGGGCAAAACGTTGGAGAGAATGCGTAGTACCTGTGCCAAAGCCAGGGTTTTGAGACTAAATTAATAGTCTGGTGCATGCACGAGACGCTTTTATCGCAAGCGTGGGGCGTAGGGGAGCTCGATTGCCGTTGAAGTCACTATAGCAACGGGGGTAGCAGGGACAGAGGGGGTGCGGGAGTGGGGGGAAGCGCTTTGAGCGGAGCAGCAGTCTAAGTTAGCGTATATTAACCGGTCAATTCACAGAGTACGAGTCGATAAATCTGGTCTATATTCGCGGATCTCACAAACAGGGTACCAATACTGTAGGGTAACTATTTATATGTAGTAGGGTAATAATACTACAGATTATGTTATGAGAAGAATAGTGCGGCTAGTCTTCAAATCAGAGTCTGGCCGTCCTATTCGAGTGGGGGATCTGCTTTATATTTATTTAGGCACCAGCAGTGTATGACACACTGCACAGATCCAAACCAACTTTGCCTCGAGTCAGTCTTATAAGTCTAATAGGTAGTGAGTACTTTTATCGGCCAGTGATATTCCGAGATCTAACAACGCGACTCTGAAGGGGTTGAGTTAAAGAAAAGTAGTTTATTGATTACAAAAATGAGGGTAAAAATATAACGAAAAGGGATTTCTGGTCACATTAAAAGCAGGAGTTGTACACATATCATTCAAATCATACATTTAACAAAGGAACAGTCTTACTTTGAAGGAGCGTAGAGGGAAGTGGGTGACTGGGATGAGGATGGAGTGGAGGATGAGAATGAAGAATAGGGTGGAGGCGATGTCGTCCACGTGGTTTCTTTGTCCGGGCAGGCGGGAATTATGAAGCCAGCGACGGCAGTCCAACTTTGGATCCAGGCGTGCACACTCAGTCCGGAATGAGTCACGTGCGCAGAGTCCAGAGCCAGGGCCGGCTGGTGATGAAGAGTTCATAAATCCCAACCAGAGGAGAGTATGTTTGGCGGAGTAGAAGGCCCGATGCGTGCTGGCGCGACCGTAGTAGGAGACACGTGCCGCGGGACGCCGATGGCCAGGGAGGTTGGAATAGTGATTTCAGGAGAAGGCAAGAGGAAGTCTCTTGCTTTGCGGGTGCTTATATTGACTTCTGAAGGGGCGTGTCCATGTCTTCCCTCTCTGTGGACAAACTCCTTTACACAGACAGTTTGTAAAGAAACATACAGGATTGATGCAAATGATCATAAGACATGTACAAACACACAGTGTATTTACATCACAGACATTAAACACACGAGTAAGGTCCGTAACGTTAATATCATTGAGTAATGTCCCCTTTGAATGTTCGTCTTGGGTGCGGTAGCGTCCAGTGTCCGCTAGGGAGCGTCAGAGGGCCGCGGGTGGACCCCTTGGTCCGTGGAATGCATTGTGACAATGCTGATTTGTATCAGCTCCTCTGTTAACATGAAAAAGGCACCAGATGGGTATCCTGCTGTTTTATGGGTCCGTCTGGAGTCCGTAATCCTCATGCTCCTGTGGCTGAACCCCATGGTTCCTTTGAAGTTGCGGTGAAGTATTATCTCCATTTGGTCACTGGTTCACAGAGAAAACAGGCCCGGCCGGTCCTGTCCTCCGTTTTAACCTTACACCTGTCACGTGACATCCTTCACCAGCCCTGTCACGTGACCTCCTTCACCAGCCCCTGTCACGTGACCTCCTTCACCAGCCCCTGTCACGTGACCTCCTTCACCAGCCCCTGTCACATCACTTCCCTGGGACTTGGACGTTTTTATTCATAAAGTTATACTTATGTTTAACTTTTAGTATGTATTAAGTAACAAACAAAACGTTTGCCAAAGCTCAACTCTGTTGCTATTTGTTTATAAGAGCGCCACCTACACTTCATCCGTAGCAAAGAACATGAAAAAACATCAAAAAGACAAAATATATGGTCGGAGATGCCACGGCGAGGCTTATTATAGTAAATAGCTGCCTTTTCCATTCATCTATATTATTCTCACAACAGCATTCAAGTTACATAGGTGCCCAATATTTCTTATTTCTTTTCATTTCTAGAGGAATAAGAGTTA